TTGCTGCGGTGGAGGTCAAGGAGGTTGTTTCCTGCTTTCTCCTCTAGGGTGTTGATAGTTTCCTGTCTCACGTTCAGGTCCTTTATCCATTTTGAGTTTATTTTTGTGCATGGTGTGAGAAAATGATCTAGTTTCATTCTTCTGCATGTTGCTGTCCAGTTCTCCCAACACCATCTGTTAAAAAGGCTGTCTTTTTTTCCATTGGATACTCTTTCCTGCTTTGTCAAAGATTAGTTGGCTGTATACCTTTGGGTCCAGCTCTGAGTTTTCAATTCGATTCCATTGGTCTATGTGTCTATTTTTGTGCCAATACCATACTGTCTTGATGATGACAGCTTTGTAGTAGAGGCTAAAGTCTGGGATGGTGATACCTCCCATTTTGGGTTTATTTTTCAGTATTACTTTGGCTATTCGAGATCTTTTGTGATTGCATACAAATTTTAGGACAGTTTGTTCTAGTTTTGAGAAGTATGCTGGTGCAATTTTGATTGGAATTGCATTGAATGTGTAGATTGCTTTGGGTAGTAATGACATTTTAACTATATTCTTCCTATCCATTGGCATGAAATGTTCTTCCATTTCTTTGTGTCTTTTTTAATTTCCTTCATAATTTTTCTGTAATTTTCATCATACAGATCTCTTGTGTCCTTGGTTAGGTTTATTCCGAGGTATTTTATGGTTTTTTTGTGCAATTGTGAATGGGATCAGTTTCTTTCTTTAAATCTTTAAATCATCATTAGCTGAGGCTGCTAAAATATTCCCTTAGTGATTATTTTCAGGGCAGGAGAATACCTGTCACAAATATTAAAATAAGTTGTGAAAACCTTCCATTTACAAACTACGGACACAACTCCAGGATAACGCGGAGTTATAAATTGTTAATATCCTGGTTGTTCGTGTGATTTCGAGTAGACAGCTTATCCAATCTAAGCACTTTTTTCAAAAAAGAAGACAAGACCCCTTCCTAATACTTTTGTATCTAGCATGAAGCATATTTTTTGTTGTATGATGTAACAGTGTTTTTTCTTAGTTTTATCTTCTGCAGATTAGTACAATGACCTCTTGCATAGCTCATGATTAATCTGCCTATTGAGATTGGTTAAATGCAATTTTTCTCAGCCTTTTGAAGGGAAAAAAGAAAACTCTTCAAGGTAATTCCTTAATACTTAACTAAAAATCTCCTAATTGCTAATAAACAATAAATAACTTTTGCTTCTTGCCATATTTCATATTTTCTCTCTATACCCAGGAGCCCGAATGTACAATTAAATAGACTGTTGTTATGTTTTAGTCCAATTAATAAATATATCATTTCATTTTAGTCTTTTGTCAATAACATGGTCAATATTTGATTACTCTGGCATTGGTCTTAAATCCTAAAGAAACCCGTTCTAATAATTTTCTTCCCTTCCTCTATGCGATTATTTTAGGCTTATCACTTGCCACTCATTTTGATCCTATTTCAAATTTTAGGACCAACTTTTGGTATCCGATTAATTAAAAACCAGAGATGCCACTTATGCTGTTTTCAAGAGGAAGGGAACTCTCTGCTATGCTAAAAATTTCCTCCCACTCTTTATACTTATTTTTAAAAATGCAATCCTGGCAGCAAATAATACCAGAATCTGTAAGTAATAACCTGTTGGGATGGCGGGAGGGGAGCAAACTGACAACGCGGTTAAAATCAGTATTGTGGGAGTCGGTAATGTTACATAAATAATTTATTGTTATGTTTCTTCCTTAAAAAGGAATCCAGTGGTTGGGCAAACACATGTTCCCCTCACAGCCTGCCACTCATCTCTAGCTTCACATTATTGGGTAGGTATTTAGAGCAAGATTTTATCTGGAGCAATGACTACCTACTCTGTGACTCGCAACTACAACCCTGCGAAACAGATTTCCAGGGACACATCGACCACTGTGGCTCCCCAGTAAAGTTTATTATAAGCGACGCCGAGCAATATTTCTTAGATAAAAAGATAGCTCTGCACAGATCCTCTTGAAAGAGTGGGCAGAAAGTCAGTGGAATGATACTAAGCCACAGCGCGCTGACCGATAGGTGACAAGCTCTGTTGAACATTATGAATTCACTCATCTTGAAATTCAGTCATCATGCTTTGTGGAAGCAGAGGCCACGCTGAGGAGGCGACTAGTAAGTACTCCAGCTTACTCCTCAGGAAAGATCAAGATCCAGATGACATCAACCTCTAGACATTGGAGTGAGGGAGTCTTTGAGGTGCTTCCATCCTTGGCCTCCACCTGATTGCAAACACATGAGAGGACTGAACGAGCACGAATGCCTTAGCTGACTCCAGTCAACTCAGAATCATGAGAGATGGCGATGGTGATAATATTAATAATACTAATGATGATAAATAATTGTGATTTTTACTGTTTTACCCCACGGTTTCAGATAGAAGAAGAGGAACTGGAACTTGGTGTTTGTTAGCTCTGAAATTCTCATTTGTTCACTTTTAAAGTTGTTTCCGGTTTAAATTCTCAACCTTGTCATTCATCTCTTAAAGTATTGTTAAGTGTCTGTATCTTGAAGTCTGTCTCGGGTAACTTCAGGGATTGGGATCTCTGAGTTGGTTATTGGCCACATGGTTCCTTCCGATTTTTCTTCATCTCGAGCTGCTGTCTCATCTCAGTCTTGTCCTGATTATTCTTTTATTGGGCAATAAACATTTTATTGAAATAACTCGAGGCCTAAAATGCATAGTATCTTCCTCCTGAGATGATTTATGTTTCTCTTCTCCAAGTTCCTACTTTTGTAAATTTTGCACTTTGAATTAGAATTGTTGACAGAATGACTCAGTAGATGAAGGACATCTTAGTGAATTATAGCGTCAAAACTTTTAGCCCAAAATGAAAACAGTCACTTCAATCTTTTGAGAAATAAATGCAATATAAATTCAGGCTTAGTTCTTTGTAATTAAAATATGATGGTACTTTGAAAATCCATTAATTCTCGAATCAATTTATATGTGCATGCACTGAAGACACAGAGACGAAAGTTACAGTACCAGCCTTCCAGAGCTTCCTCAATAGAAGAGGAAGTAGCTTAATTACTTAACTATAAAAATAATCTAAAATAATAAGTGGTGTAATAGAAGTCGCATGCCACACTAGGAGAGTGTGGAAATTGTTAGGCAAAGCTTGAGCCACAAAATTGGGCTGACTAAAGAAGGAATCACCTGTCCAAAGGTGTGGTCCTTGCCACACCTTTATAAACAAAAATTTTAAAAAAGCACATATATAAATATACATATATATATAGAGAAATCACTCAAAAATATAATTCTAACACTATAGCATCTTGGGAAGACAGTAGCTATTATTACGCTCAACACTGTAAATCCAGCTTTAAATTATATATAAACATCATCAGTATAAGTCTTGTGCTTCCTAAATCATGGCTCCATGCTTAGTCTTTATAGCATGCTTTGTCAGCAAGAATTAACACTAACATAACGACTCCTCAATGGCGTGAGGCCTACAACTTTAGGTGTTGATTACATTACACTTTCAACAATTTAATTATAGTCTTTCTTCTTCAAAAGATTATGGAATTATTAAGACCTAGAATGTATCAAACCTTGACGTGTACTCCCCATGTCTTAGCTCTTTAGATTTTGAGCAGACTCCAGTTTTCTTTTTGGCAGAGTGTATTATATTCACACATCAACTATGATGGTCACCCCATAGTTGACCATCATATGGGGTCACATATTGGAAGTCACCCAGTTGTCTTCCAATATTCACCCGGTTCAGTGCCATCTCTGGCCACACTGAACGATGAGNTATGGAAACCAAATTGACAATAAACTATTTGTAAGA